AATTGTCTATTTGGGTTCAGGAACAGAGAGAAAACCTAGGATCAAACCACTTGGACGAAGAGTTCTGGCAAACTGAACAGTGTTTGGACGAGGTGACGAACGTTAAAATAATGATACTGTAAGTAATATGCCATTTACAAGAAAGATGGCCAAGGAGTTGTTGATCTTGGTACTGTCTAGAAACAAATCCAGTGAGCAATCAGTCGTTTGTTTCCTAGAGGGATTTTATTGGCTTGTACGCGAAACCGATCCGCAACTGCGAAAGAAAAACTAAAATTCTTTGCAACCCAAGGTAGGCTTGAGTTGAACTCGGGAATTTAGGATGATGAGCAAGCGCAGCGCTCTGGCCGCTCGTTCCTGCTGCCTCCTTTCCCAGGGGCGGATCTAGGGGAAGGGTGCAGGGGGTGCGCACCCCCCTTGAGATGACCTGAGGTTTTGTAATACAACTGGTATTCTGCCAAAAAAAAAAATATGTGGTTTATTGGTGTTGAAGTAGAGCAAGAGACGAGTGCACCCCCTCCTAAAAAAAATCCTGGATCCGCCCGTGTTTCCATTGTATTATTCATGAATGTTTTTCTTTTTGTTGTTGCTTTGCTCGGATGAACTTCATTTTCTCTACGTTTAGTTAAATTGGATGATTAAACATTGCTTGTCATCACTGCACTTAGAATGTGTTTTTTGCTTTTGATTTAGTTGAACGAAGAAGTTATCGAGATGGTGCAAAGAATAAAACAAACTCGACCAAATGTTGAAGAAGCAGCTCTAGCGTCCGCGAACTTATTCACCAATCTACATTAGGACCTTTTACCTAATCGCGGCTTATTTCAGGTCAGCAGTACCCTGGAAGGTACTGAGACAACCGCTAAAGGAAGAGATTGATTGTGAGTTCCATTCTTGTGGCCGGTCGATGGAGCAGTTCACCTGTCATAGATTTTCGCTATAGAATTGGTATGGACTCCATTTCTTGTGGTCTGTATGCAGCGGAAACAATGGCACAGATAGGAAAGAACTGCTGAAGGACGTTTTTGGTGGTGAACATTGTTTTTTCTCTTAGCTTGAACATAACCAGGTTCTCGCAGATATAGAAGGCGAATTCTTTACAGTTAAGCGCTGAATTGGAAGGCCTCGTTTCACGAACGCTGCCTTTAATGCAAGGATTTTCTGTAGGGGAGAGGGTTGAAAGTAGAAATGGCAACAAACCAACCCCATCCACTCCCTCCTCCCGTGGAAAAAGCTGCTGACAGGGCAGGACATTGCCCAGTGAAGACAAACGTGTATTTTGAATATAACACTTATCATTTTCACCCTGAACTTACATTGCACCATCCTTGTTTAGAGGGATTCTTTGTAAGATTGAAATGATTTATAAAACTGAATTATCTTAAAAGCACGGTTTGACTTATATGACTTTATATAACTTTATAAAAAAAAAGCCTCAACTCGAGCCAGATATTTGGCGCGCAGTTTAATAATGTCTTATCAGGTTTAGTCTTGTTTCCTTTATAGCCTGTGAACAGACCTTCCGGGTGGGTTAGGACAAGAAAATTGAGGGAAAATTAGGAAAGCGGCGAGAAAATCTTGTGCAGAAAAAAAAATAGGAAAGAGGTCCTCCCCCCACCCCTTACTTTCTCTTCCCTCGGCTTCACCCTTTTTCGCCCTGTCCGCCGCTCATTACAGAACTTGTTCAAACCCAATTCTCAAGATAAATCGTAGGTACTGTTTATGGAATAATTTTTGCCTAAAAAAATGCTACACAGTTCCCACCTGAGGAACACCCGAAATGAGAAATACCCGAGTGAACGAATGTCTGCGCGCTCTGGGCAGGAGAGGACAGAGTCTGATGACGTCACTTTTAAGGCTGGAGATAACGGATGATTTTACAACAGTCAGCGTTGGCTGTACTTCTTATTTCTTATCACCCGTTAAAGGGGGTCAAATTTACTTTAAAACTTCTCATCATGATCTTCTTCAGAAGTAAAACACCAAGCAAGATATACATATTTACATATGAATTATTGACCAAGTGTGACATCAGGGTGGGTAGACAGACAGTTGCCACGTTTTTATGGATTCAGAAACCAAGCGAAAGACATAAAAAGGCAAAAAAGAACGAGGCCATTATTCAGCCATCTTGATCGAAAAAACTCGGTCGATAAAGGGTTTTTTATATGGCCGAAAAGAGGAATTTTGAGTTGAGGTCTTAGGATCCAACGCGGTAAATCTCGAGAGACAAAGAGTGGTTCATCGTGCTTGCTACGCTCAGGAAGCCAATAAAAACACAGGATTCGCTTCATCTTGCCTGCTCGCTTGAAAGAAACATAATAAATGCCTTTGTTATTTCTCAGTGTGATACAAACTACCACATTTTCGAGCCTCATTTTCATTTTTCATATCAGACCATCTGGGACAAAACCTAAGACATATTTAAGTCTTGTTGACCCTCAATCGGATCCGAGTGTGCGTTGTAATTAAGTCAGCAGTTGAATGAGCTCCAATTGTT